CACATAACAATGCATAACAATACAAAGACATACTGACACCTTTACCTAGCAAGGCACATGTAACTGCTGTGCTCTGACACAACCGTTAGACCAAACATAAAGTGAAAGAGTTGCCGTTTCACAAATGGGCTGAGCTGTCTGTGGTCAGTGACATCACGGGACAAAAGCTCTTCCTCATTCAAAATGACTCACTGACGTTTCAGCCATACAAGGTTGTTGGTAAGCTTTTAAATTTGGAGAAATGTCCTGTAAGTAAGGTCGGCACTAAGAGTTGTGCTTAGTTCAAGGAAGTAAAAAAATACAATGGCTCCTTTGATGTTTAAGGATGCTTTCTGGGTGAGTATATTTTTGTGGTATTGTTGTCTACTTGCTTTGTTATAGTTTCTAAACTATAGTATGTATTAATTATGTTGAACAGACTGTTTTAGGAACCCGAGAAACACCACGTTACAGTCAGCTATCGCTTGTTAGAACATTATATATTTTAAACCCTAACTGTTATCTGTAAGTTAAAATTTGCCAAATCAGGTAAACCACAAGTGATTATAGTTTATACTATTATGGACACACAGCAGTATGGGGTGGGAGTGGGGGTGGGGGGGTTAAGGTAAGCTTTACAACTTAAAAAAATACTTAGTATGCACAATCATGAACATCATACATGTAAAGACACTGTAATGTGTTGAATCACCACTGCGTGCACCTGAAGCGATCTAGAGGGTTGGTTTACCAAGTGTATTAACTCTACGCTGCCATGCCACATACAAATATCTTTGCAGTACACAAGTGCTAGTTCTGCATTTTACCACAAAATGAGTCAAGAACATGTTGCAATACCTTTTTCAGAAATGCTGTTTATTGCAGCAGTTTTCATTTTTTGTGTTTCGTCAATGCAGGGGTCTGACTTCACTTGCCACGCTGGGTATGAAGCCGTGACCCAAAGGTTACGAGATGGAAGGCAAATGTGCAAAGATATGGAAGAGCTATTGAAGATGAGGTTGGATCATCTTGTATTTGTGGAATCAAAATAAACTTAAAATCGTGGGTTCTGTGATTTTAATCATAGCTGCGCTTCTTTTTCCATGATCTTTACTTTACATGACTTCATACATGGAATCAACTTCCAGCTTGATCATAACATTAAGAAAAAAAATAGCTATCTAGTTGTCATTTCACTCATTAAACACCACATGTGGTTAGTCATGTATGAAAGATAGCAGGCCCATGACTCATTTAGGTCACAAGATGTAAGAATTTAGCTATTTCCTTTTTTAATTCTGTGTCTTGAAATATCAAAATATTCTGCATTAGCACTCATTTGTGTATATTAATTGATAATGACAAGTAATTCAAGATAAACCTTAAGATGTCACCAAAATCATCTTTGTGATGTTATGGCCTGAATAGAATGACGTAACATAAAGTCAGTGATCCTTTAGGTAAAAGAGCAACAAGAGTTTAAGTAGCAACAAGATTTCAGGTAAAAATGTTGGTATATGCATGTCAAGGCAAATGTTGGACTGTTATAACAGACTTTATATAAGCTAATTCAGTTTTTCAAATAAATACTAAAATATACATTCTGGGTTCTAATGATTTGTCTGCCTATTTATACCCCCACAGGGCACTGGCAGAGGAAAAGTATGGAAAGGAACTGGTGACTATTGCTCGCAAAGCTGGAGGACACATAGAGATAAGGTGAAAAACTTGTTTTGAGGTCAGCATTATGTATTGTATAGACTGCCCAACTAGTACATAAATATAGCAATTTGGACAAAAACTTTTATTTGGAAGGGTTTTGGTAAGGGATGGACATGTTAAGGGTGACTGGCACTGACCAGGAAGACTACATATAAAACTGCAGTCAGGCACATCATCGTCACATTCTTTAAGAGGAAATACATTTGTGCGTGATATAGAAAGTGAGACACAGAAAAAAAGAGACTAAAATGTAAGTATGTGTGTGTGC